AATAGGTATAAACCAAAACCCAAAACTGGATGAATTTTAAATAGTCTGTCCGAAATTGTCTTCCACTGCAATACCTCAGGTTTCACTCATCTGATTCTCATGATGTTACCATTGCACTAGCTCTCCACTCTTCAATAGCATCTTTCAGCCTAGACAGGAACTGAATCTTTAACATTAAAAACCAAGCAGACGTGGCTTTTTTGTTTTTTTAAGGTATACACACACAACATTATGCAGTAAAGAAACAAAAAAGGGTACAAGCCCATTTTCTTTTTGCAGATCACTATTAGCAGCAGCTGGGTGACCTTGGGCAAGTTACTTCCCTCCTCTGTGCCTCAGTGTCCCCATCTGTGAAATGGGGATAATGATACTGACCTCCTTAGTCAAGTGTTTTGAGATCTGTTGATGAAAAGCACTAGATGAGAGCTGGGTGTCATGTTATTACTAGGGCTCACACTTATGGGCTGAAGGAAGTGGGCATGGGAGAGCAATCCTTCTGGCCTGTGAGGAGTCAGTTTTGCCTCCCCAGCACTCTCATCACTGCAGCAAGCCTGATTGTTGTGGTTTCCTACAAGTGACGCTGAATGAGCAAATAGCAGTACTTGCATTGCAGTCAAGGACAGCATCCCACTTCTCTGAACACTGACATCAGACAGGAAAGAAAAGGATACTGCCCATGTTCATCACTTTGTGCCTACAGAGTCCTATTTCTACAAACAAGGCAAAGAGATTGTTCCATAGTGAGGGCTTTCTGCTGCCCCAGCACTTGCTATTGTTCAAATGTTAAGATAAAGATGTTTTGTAGTCACAAACACACACGCTTTTTTTAAAAAAGAGGGGAAAACATGAATCACATTGTCCTGGCTGAGAAGCAGATGAAAACATTTTATTCAAACTCGATCTTTAAAAAAAATAAATCACCTTTTGGATGAGACAAAGTATGAGCACTCTCAATGCAAATGGAAATTTGTGTAAAGTTCAAAGCAAGTGAAACATTTGTGTTAAGCATGGAATGGCTCCTTCTGTCTTAACTGATAGCATTGCAGGGAGTTTACAGGAGGGGAATTTCCCTCAGTGATCATCTATGTAGGCTGGTTACATTTGGTCTGGAAAACTGAAGTCCTCAATCTCACAGCAGGTATGGCACAAGCAGCAGAAGTGCAAGTTTTCCATGTTTCAGTACCAACTTGCCTCCATCAGACTGCTTCTGTGTCAAGAGCTCCCTTTCCTGGCTTTTGCTTGTCAAACCCTGTTCAGGAAGACAAGACTGGATTAACTCTCTTGTGGGCCTGGGGCTATTAGATTTTGTGGGGGCCATGGGGGTTGGGAGTGGGCTCAGGGCTGGGGCAGGGGATTGGGGTGCAGCTCCAGCTGGGGGGGTGGGCTCTGGGCTGGGGGTGCAGCAGGAGGTTCGGGGTGCAGGTCATTCTGGGGGGGAGGGATAGCTCAGTGGTTTGAGCATTGGCCTGCTAAACCCAGGGTTGTGAGTTCAATCCTTGAGGGGGCCATTTAGGGATCTGGGGAGTTGGGAATTGGTCCTGCTTTGAGCAGGGGGTTGGACTAGATGACCTCCTGAGGTCCCTTCCAACCCTGATATTCTATGAGTCTATGAGTTCTATGAGTCTATGAGTTTGGGTGCAGGAGGGGGCTCCAGGCTGGGGTAGGGGTGAATGAGGGGGTGCACCGGGTGGCTCCTGGTTGGCAGCATAGCAGGGTCCCTGGATCCCTGCCTGCCCTGGCTCTATGCTTCTCTGCTCCCCGAGGTGGCTGGCATGTCTGGCTCCCAGGCAGAGGGGCCGCCGCTCTGTGCGATGCATGCTGCCCGTGCCCACAGACACTGCCCCCACAGCTCCAGAGCTGCGGAGCCGGCACTGGGGGCAGCACGCAGAGATTACCCTGAATGCCCTTCGCCAAGGGGCCGCAGGGGCACATTGGCGAGCCAACACTCGCAGCTCCAGCCCCAGGGGATGGCACTGAGGCTCGGGGACTGGTATCCGGCCCGCGGTGCGGAGACTTGCTGCGGGTCGGATGAAAAGAAGCAGCGGGTCGCATCCGGCCCCACTTAGCCTGAGGCTCTGGGCTGCAGCCCCTAAAGCTCCTGCATTAATCCGGCCCTGCAGGAGGATAGCTCAGCAACCTCTTTAAGGGTCTGAGCCCAGCTAGGCTCAACCACACCTCTTTGCCACAATCTAGGGTGGTCCTTCCACTCTATCAGGGTATCTTGTCCTGTCCTAGATGATTATTTGGGTGATGTCTGCTTTTTAGTTAAAGACGTGGTTGAAATGGAATGTGGTTTTACGAACATTTACAGGAATTAATCTATGTTGTTCTTTAGTTCCCGCTTAGAAGAGACTGCCCTCAGCTACATATATCATCCCTTAGGAGTGTTTATGAAATGTTAATTGGGTGATTCTTCCTTAACTAATAGTGAATGGTGATGTTTTTATTTCTATACCACCATAAAAAAGCATGATGATTTGCAGACAAGGCGAATACCACATCCCTGCACTGAAGAGCTCAAGATCTAAGGCCCTATTCCTCCAGAAAAGTCTGCATGGGCAGACCCCCGCAAAGCTCACTGTAGGATCAGGAGCTAATTTACAACAAGACAGGGAAGTTATTGCTGGTGTGAAAAGGGAAAGAAGAAAGAAAAAGCTACAGAAATAATATAACAATGTTGCTTTTGCTACTGATGCCAAAGTAGTGAGGGTTACTAAAGGTTTGTGTTAAAGCTGTGTCAAAGGAAGGAAAGACTAGACTGCGTAGGCCTCCTAGAAAAATAGATTTTGAAGAGAAAATGGCAGGAGCAGAGTTGGTTTGTGTTACTGACCATGGACAGCTATTTGGATGAAGGATAACACATTTAACATAAAAAGAAAAGGAGTACTTGTGGCACTTTAGAGACTAATCAATTTATTTGAGCATAAGCTTTCGTGAGCTACAGCACATTGCATCCGATGAAGTGAGCTTTAGCTCATGAAAGCTTTTGCTCAAATAAATTGGTTAGTCTCTAAGGTGGCACAAGTCCTCCTTTTCTTTTTGCGGATACAGACTAACACGGCTGTTACTCTGAAACCTGACATTTAACATATTTAGGGAAGAGCCATCAAGTATATACAGTATTAGACAGGCTTACTACAAAAAACTATACAGCAAATTTAACATTCTGATATAGGCATCTGTCACTCTCAGTGATAGCATCGAAAGGGCTGCTGGTAAGGTGTGATCATTGCAGGTATTTCTGGAAGATTATTATAGATGTTTTAATTGTTGTTCTGGTTGAAACTTTCTGCTTTCTAATTCTAGCTCTTTGTTTCTATTTTCAGACTATTCAGCCACGCGCAGCTGTTGTGCACTGCACACTAACAGTCTATTTGTATTTTCCTCTCCTCAGAAATGGAAGGGTCTGAGCTACAGACAAAGATGATGATCTCACTTTCTGATTTAGGCTCCATTCCTGCAAAAACTTTCACATGTGCTTAACTTAAAGCATATATTTAGCCCTATTGAGTTCAATGGGACTAGGACTGCATGCATGCTTACAGTTATATATGTGTGCGATTGCAGGAGAATATTAAAAACAGATTAATATTTTGTAGGTTTAGAAAGTTAATAATTTATTTTATTCCAAGGCAACTGCTCTCAAAGTCCTCTGTGTGCCTTAAAAAAAGTAACCTGAAAACACAGTTTACAATAACTGGACACCACTATTAGATAGTAAGCTATTTGAGGCAAAGATTGTTTTTATTTTTATATACAACACACTGGCAGCACGTTGTCATGACTAACCAAACCACCAGCACCTCAAATAAATCCAGAGTAGCAACAAAGTCTGAAAGGAAAAACGGGGGGGAACCCCTCCCCCCTAAACCCAACACACATAATTGTGTCCTTTCTTCCTGACAAATAGGATTCCAAATTCAGAAGTAAAATGTGAGGAGCAAATTACACAACAGTGGGAGGAAGTGGGTTTAAGGGAATCTAAACTGGCACCACATTCACATTCTTCCAGATGGTATGCTCAGCAAGTTACCATAGCTTAAAATCATTCATACATCATTTGTAAGGGCTTGTCAACACAGGGGGAGAGCAGGAGGTTAAATCCACAGCTTTTTGAGTTTATCTGCTTTGACTAGACTTGAGTATACACAATGCAATTTATTGTGAGCACTGACTCTGCACTTATCTCAAACTCTGGATTCCTCTTTCAAAGTGAACTAAACTTTGCTGTGAAGTGAGTTAGTCTAGTTTATTGTTCGTGTGCACACAATGCTGCTGCTAACTACTTTGGCAGTTTTCCAAAGGCTATACCACACCACTTTGGAGGCGACAGTTACTGACCTATCTACCTCTGTGCCCTGCCCTACTCTGGAGTCAAATTGATCAGATGTCCCCTTCCTTGTTTGGATTTAGGAGTGGTGGACAATGTTGGGGGAGAAATGAGGCCAGATTTAAGATACTTTCCCCCTCTCTATTTTTCAATTAATGCACAAAACCTCTAAGTTGTGTGAGAGCTAAGGGGGCTCTATACATAACACACATAACAGAAAACCACAAAAGCAAGGAAATGAAGAGTGAAGGCATCTAATAGTACATTTCTCCAACCAGAGAGGCATAGCTCACCAGTAGTGCAGCCAGCATAACCTTAACTCTGTCCCAATTTTGCAGAAAGTGCATTTTCCATCAAAAATCATTTTGACAGAGAATTCTTAGCCTACTGTAATGTCACAGCTGGGCTAGATTTGAACCAATAGACAAAAGTTGCATCACATTACCAGTCTTCTGCAAGAGCCAGTTCTGTATCCCTTGAGATGAAATAACCCATAATCTGTGCTTTATCTTCTTTCAGTGACCCATATAGAAATAATGAGGAGACAAGGCAGAGAATGGGCAATGACAGTCAGAAGAGTAACAGTAATACTAATTCATAGTAATAAAGCTAGAGGGGGAAGAGACACTATGAAACAATGATAATCTTTCAGGTTTTTCTTCACTTCCAGGAGACGTGACTGTGAACTGTACTGTTGAACTTCTGGTTACAAGAGGTTACAGATACCCGAGAAAACCTGGGGACTCCCTCAATATAGAGTGTCCAGTGAAGTACTGCACAGAAAAGCCGGCCATGAACTGGTGCAAGATACAGGAGACGCACTGCTCACTTTTGAAAGATGGGCCAACGAGACATACAGCCTGGAAAGACGGGAATGTGTTTGTTCTGAACTTTGTACCTGTTCATAAGAACGACAGTGGATTATATCGTTGTCAAGCTACTGTAGGAAGTTTAAGGAGTGAGAGCCATGCAGTAGAAGTTCTTGTTCAAGGTAAGCATTAGAGGATAACTAGTTTTGAGGGAATTTCTCTTTATCAGAACTGATTCTAAAGGTTAAAAACTCATTCTACTTGGAAGTCTGTTTCTACAAACAAACACACTATTCAGTGGCACAGTAGTAATCCAAGTGGCCTTCTAAACATGCTGACCTCTCCTATTCTGCTCCTGTTAATGTCTGCCTTCCCTCTTTACGGCTCTCTTAATGGTCATTAGGAAGAAATCACGAAAGACCCAAGAGGATCAGGAAAAGAAAAACACAGTCATGGGGGATTCTAAAACTCTTGGGATTTAGGATGATCCATGAAAGGTCAATCTAGTCATAACAAATATAAGTCAGTCAAAGCCAATGAAGGTCAGGAAAGGTACAGTCTGGTCACAAGCTGCACAAATCAGTCAAAATGCAAAAAGGTGCATGTTACTGGACAAGGTCAACACAGTACAAGGAATGAAATGGCTTAGGAGAAAATCATGCTGAAGACATTTGTCTTACAGAGAATACAAAGGGAGCGTATGAGTTTGTGCTATGCCTCTTGGAGGCATAGACTACAGTACAGTCCCAGCAGCAAGAGGGATATGCTGCCCTTGGGATCCGGGCTTGGTGCGGTTCCCAGAAACAACTCAGAGGTTTCCTCTAATTCATGACAGCTCTGCCTGGGCTGCTTATAAGCAGCTCTGCAACCAGGAACTGCTCAGTATGGCTCCGGCACAGTCCTGGCCTAGTCCAGCTGTAAGGCTGTCTTACACAGTGCCTGCACCAGGAGAATTCTCTTCTAGCGTGTTAAGGAGCTTTAATGGCCCCTGTTCATTGCTGCAGCAGTGTACATAGGGTGCAGGGATAGAGAAAATCCCTCACCGCATTTATTGCTGAACCTTGTGAGGAGGTTTAGCCTGTGCCCAGCTCATACTAGTCTCTTGGTGTGAGCTAAACTCTAATAGAAAGCGCTGAGCAAATAAGAAAAAAAAAAGTATTCACAAAAGTATTTTGAAAAAGTGACATAATATCTATTTGCAGATGATTCACTTGGCTGGTTTTTTTAAATGTCAAAGAAGACTTTGAATAAAGTGTGTGTGTACTACTCAAGCAGCCTTAGGAAACAAGTTCTGTGCCCTCCCACCAATTGCCTTCTTTCTTGTTTTGTTGTTCCCCTTAATCGAAAGTAGAAGTCATGGAGACTTCACTATAAGATTGCTCTTTGAATATGGAAAACATAACCGGGACATAAAGTTTACCAAGTTCTCAGCTCAGTTTCAATTCTTCTCCTGCTTTTCTTTTTCAGAAGTGACTACAAATGCCCCTACAAATCCACTATCAAGTAAGTTATGATCTTCTCTTGTAAAATAGGGGAACTATCTCATATTTATATGACTGTGTGTGGGGAGGGTCATATATTTTTGCACATACTGAAATACTGTTTAACCCCATCACTAAATCACTGTTGCTCACGCTATAGCTTGAATGCTTCACTTGGAACTAAACAGCCATCACCCATGCCAGAATCCCCTGCTGCTGCCCACCCTAATGCATGAATATATCAGTGTAAGCGAGACAAAGCGAATTAGACACTCCATCATAGTGTAACAGATTGTTCAGTTCACACACATTTCTCTCATACTGCGTAATACATGCTACTCATGCTGTTCCAGGAGTCACACTGTATCAGAATTGTAGTCTTTGATTAATTTACAGTGCAAAAGGCACAAGGCACCAATAACAGGTTCTTTTACTCAGGTGACTACTTAAATATTTGTTAGAGGAAATGAGATTGGTGAATCACATATATAGAGATATGAAGACTTTATTTAGTACCCAAATGCAAGCAAGCAAGGATAATTACAGTCATAAAAAAGTCAGATGAGGATAGAAAAACAGTTCCCTACAATGTGCATATTTACAACCTTATGGAGATCATCATGAGTGAAGATGGAATGAATAGTACATGGAGAAGCACTGTAAGCGGGAGTGATGACAAGCTTTCCAGCCTGATGTTCCAACTAAGGACTGAGTGTACCTTTTTTATACATCTTTCCATTACACCCACACATGTATGGGACCTTATTTGATTGAGTCTCAGCGCCCTGTCCTTGTAAAGCAGGTGTCAAAGGCTTGCTATGTGAAAGGGGTCACCAGTAAAAAAGTTTGAGAACCACTGTTGTATAGCATTCTAAGGGGCCAATGTTAGAGTTCGGGCTACTTGCATGGCCAATTTGCGACAATGTATTTCACAATAGTTTTGATGGGTAAACTTAGTTTTGCTGCATGGTTACATATACCAAAAAGCCCCTAAAATGCTATTATTTTAAGTTTAGTCTATTCCTTTGCAGTTTACTTGTTTACCACAGGATACATATTGCTAAAAATTATAATTGTAGGTTAAGTACTTATGCTAAATATTTAAGCCTTATGCTATCTACTAGTCTCTGTTAGATGTTAAACTTGTTGCAAAGCCTATTTCAACTATTTATACATGTTGTTCTTCCCTACTTACATTACAGCTTGAATATCCGCATTTATAAGCATGTTAGCTTTTAACATATAGATTATAGTTTAAACACAAGCATAAACTTTCCAAGATCAGTTTGGGGTCAAGGATCAACAGAACATAAACAACATCTTAAAGAGTGGTAGTGGACAATAATTACCCAAAGCCATAATTTGTTCAGGGGTGTCACACCCACACACTATGAAGGGCCATATACTCTATAACCAATGATGCACAGCTGTGACCTTGTCAACAAAAGAGGATGTGTGTACCCTATACATTACATGGGTTTTAAAATAGATACGGGGGAAATAATCCTTACTATCTTTGTCACCCTCATTTAACATACTGTTCTCTTGAAATATTACAGGCAGCAAAGGTACAAAATCTCATAGTTCCCCACCAGCCTGACTCCTCTGCCAGACCTTCTACTTTCTAAGCTTTTCCTCCTGCCGTCCCTTAAAGGGAACCCAAAGCTCCTGAGTCCATAGTTGTGCACCTAGATATGTGGCCTGATTTCCAGAAGTTCTGAGCACCCAGCAGCTCTCATAGACTTCAGTGGGACTTGCTGGGTGCTCAGCACTTCTGAAAATTAGGCTGGTGCCAAAGTCTGGACTCAGGAGCCTGTCTTTAGGAATCCATTTCAGAAAGTCTTGGGCTTTGTGTTTAGTTGAGAAAAATAAAATGGAACCTCCCAAGTTAGTTTTTTCTATGCTGCAAAAAATACAGGAAATGAAAAAGAGAAGAGGAGGAGAGAATCTGGAGCAGAAAAAGGAAGTTTTGAGCAGCCCCAACCCCAATCCCCCTTAGAATTTCAGACAGCCTTTCACCCCTCACTAAATATATTCCTAATGAATACTTCAAAATGCTTGGTTAACTAGCTTAATTCAAATTATTCTAAAAAATGTGCGGTTAGCAGATTAAACAAATTGGTACATTGAATTTATGAACTAATTGGATGGCTCAGAATAATCCAGCCAACATCCTATATCATGTACTAATAAATCTTAGAGGAATTTGCAGGTGCCACTAATGTCACAGAAGCTCCTCAAGGACCTAGCAGCAACAATAAGAAGTGGATTATTTATGCCCTATCATCTCTGGGGGCATTGTGTCTCCTCATCCTTATCTGCTTATGCCTGTTGTGTTGTCTGCGGTGGCACTCAGGTGAGCTCTCATACCACCTCCTGTTCTTCCTTGTGCTCCTGCGGGCAGAGTCATTTTTTCTTCTTTGGTTTCCACTATTTAAAACGTCTTCTTTAAGTACTGTTAAAATGTCTGAGAACAATCATCCCCAACTGACAGTTGAGCTAGAACATGGCCAAGGCCTAGCTGGTTATGATGATGATTTTTTGGCTGTTTTATTTGTCACCCATGCTATTCTCATCTAGCAATAGTGCAATAGTTATGGATAAAATAAGAACCCACCCAAACCTCAAACTCCACTTCTTTAATAGTTTGAAACGCTGTGACTTGCTCTTTGTCTCTCCCTATCCCCATTTTACAGAAAAGACATTAAACAAGAGTCTTGACCACTTTATCCCTTGCTACAGTTCATAAGAATGGGAGAGTTAACCTTGCAGTCCTGATCACACTCCAACTAATTACATTCTGCTTCCCTAATTTCCCTTTGTATTTTCAATTAGATACAATATTATTCTTCCCTTCTAAAATGTAGGGTCTTGGGCTGTTACAAAGATGCTATCCTCCACCTCAGAAATGGAACCCACAGTTCCACTACATTGTCATTTCAGTGGTGGGAAATGATGGGTCATTTCCCTTACCTATTTCTCAGTGGCTTTCTGAGGGTTAGTTGGTTAATATTCGAAAAATGCTTTGAGACTTACCAATGAAAGGTGCCGTAATTGCCTACTAGGTGGCTCAAGTTTATCGAGTGTTTTCCATGCCTGATGCCTATGGCTAGTATGTTCTTGTTTATGACTAGAACCGCCTCCCCTCAAGGTAATCTAGGAGAATCTCTCCCCCCCCCGCCCCTCAATATACTAGGAAGATATTTTTTCCACATTTCTGGGGCTACGGAGGGAGTCATATTTCCCAATAAGATGTAGAATATGTTTATTACCCTTTGTCAAAATAGATCTTCCTAATCCAACCTGGGCATACTCTAACTGGATTTTCATGTTTTGAGGTGTATCCAGTAAGGAAAGGGGTATTTTACTGATGTCCATAACCCTTTTCTACTAGCAGAAAGACAATTCTCACAGTTGTTTTATTGATACACCATCTTCTTTTCTTTTTCTCTCCAGTGAAACCCAAGACAACCCCAGTAACCTCACAGAAGGAAATGAACATGGTGTGTTTGAGCTCTGTGCTACCAGGTCTTGTCATATCCTGTATTATTGAGTGCTGACAAAGTGCTTAGTATTTTACAAACATATAGGAAGACAGTCCCTAGCTCAAGGAACTAACAGTCTAAATAAAAGACAGAGAATACCCCTCAGTCATGTAACACCACATAGGCTGAAGTTGCAAAATTCAAGTGAAGTAGTTTTGTTTTATTAGTCCACGTTCTATAGTTGTTGGGTCGCAGCTGTATAAGGACTTGCGGAAGAAAACTGCTTTGAATAGGGTTTTGAAGGGACAGAGGGATGACATTTCAAGTATATGGGAAGTACGGAAGCAGATGCAAAGAGGATACAGATGGGGTTTTTAGGACAGGAGCCTGGAAAGGGAAGTGGAAACGCATAGAAGCAGAGATCCTGGTAAGGTTGGAGCTGGGTAATGCAGTGAAGGTGAGGACAAGAAGTTTGAACTTGACATGGAAAGTGAAAGAAATTTTTTTAAAAATGTGGCTATCTGTATTACCGTAGCAGTTAGGAACCCCAGTCGTGGACCTGGACTCCATTGTGCTCGGCATTGTACAAAGGACAAAAAAAAAAAGACGACCCTTCCCAAAAGATCTTATAGTCTAAGTATAAGACAAGAGGCAATAAATGGGTACAGACAGGTGTGTATCAGGAAACCATATTCATTAGTATGACAGGCAATGGCCTCAATGCACCAAGAAGCCAGAGGCCAGTGATCCGATCAGAGTAGCAAGCGAAGGAAGATAGCGTTAGCAGCAGCAGCATTTTCTGCGGACTGCTGGGGGACTAGAAATGACAGTAGGCAGCCAATGTGGAGTAGATTGCAGTAAGCAAGGTGAGGGAAGACAAAGTGGGAAGGAGTGAGAGGGAAGAGTGGGTTTCAGAAATGTATAAGAGGAACTGATAGATTTGGAGAAAGGAGAGACATGGAAGAAAAAAAAGGAAAGACAGGAGTCACATTCAATAACTTAACAGGCTGATATAGAAGATGGAACAGCTGTCAAAGGTGATGGAGAAAAGAAGGGAGAGGGATAAAAAGTAAAGAAGGGGCGTTTCAATTTTGTCACTGTGAGCTTGATTTGTCAGTGGAACAGCCCAGAGACAGCGTAAATGTGAGATTGCAATGAGGGGAAGAAGGCAAGAGATTTGTGAATCACCCACCTAGTGATGGTAGCTGAAACTGTGAGACTGGATGACCTTGCCTAGTGAGAGTACAGAGGGATAAGTGGAGGGGACAAAGGACAAAACCCTGAGACAAAAGGAGAGGGGAGAAAGGGAGAAGTTACTCGTGGAAAAACGGAAAGATGGTGGAGAAGAAGAAGAAAATTGAAGCCCATGGAGGAGAAGTGTCAAAAAAACAGTGGGAAAGATGAGTGAAGAAAAATGGTACTTAAATGTGGCCAGCATGAGGTCATGTGACACTGGCACGGACTGTTCCAGAGGAGTTGAAAGGTCACAAACCAGACTGCACAGGATTCAACAGGGTGTTACAGGAGAGAAGATTGAGATAGCAGGAACAGATGTCCCACTCAAGGAGGGAGATGGAATTTAGGTGGATAGGCAAGTGGGGTCCTAAGGAGGGTTTCTTTAGGAAAAAATATATGAGTGAACTTGTAAGCAGACAGAGATGCTGGACAAGGGATGAAAGAAGGAAAGACAGATTCAGAGATGGAAGGATGGGGACAAATAGAGAGAGTCTTGCAATGTGAGACTGGATGGGTGATGGGCAGGCAGAGCCATGGAAGTGAGAGGCACAAAACGAGTGAGTTAGGAGAGCTCCTGCAACGCGATGTTCAATTTTACCCTGAAACTGATGAGATCACATGGAGAGAGGGTAAGGGGGAAAAGAAAGGAGACAGAGAGTTTGGGAAGGGAAGTAAAGGTAGAGAAAGGCTTAAAGATGCAATGATTTCTAACTTTATCCCATAAATTGGTGCATTACCCGAAAGTATATTCCAGGGAACCTGGTTGTCCACCTTTGCTCCAACGTTTATCCATCATTTTTAATGCAATTTTGAAGTGGTAGAGCCCACCTGAATGAAACCTTATGCCGCATCTCTGTTACATCTCACATGTGTGCTTTGTCCAGCCGACACATATCTAATATACAGTTCCACACAGAGCTGAACACCGTTCTGTTCTCTTGCAGGTCAGCAGAGCTACATGTGCTCCATACCACACCGATAGGACCACGCATGCCCCCAGTGAAGGATCGACACTTTACTATTGCTCCATGGCTAGCCTGCAGCAGCCACTGGATGACAGCACAATTTATGATAATCATGTCCCTCACTGGAATGGTAGCAGGGCAGCAGCTGGCAATGCCTGTGACAGTGCTGCTGTTGATTCCTACCAGCCCACATCCGAGAGCGAAGATGTCCTTGTTTATGCTTCATTAAACCATTCTAGTATTATAGAAAAGCTCCCGAGAAAGGAGCAGAATGTGGAAATGGAACTTACAGAATATGCCACCGTTTGTGTGAAGAAATAGCCCTGGCAATGACATCTCTTTAACTCGGCCAGCACCGTAACGGTTCATGTCCTGCAGTGACTCAAGCGTTACAGCAGGAACATAAGTACACCTTCTTCTAAACAAAGAGGAATTCTCATCAATAAAAGCATACTGATTCTTATGATATGTTCTGGAATTCACACTTAAGTGAAGCCCATGTTCATGGTTGGATATTAGCAACCGCATGTTTGTTATCTTCCACATGCGTTCATTTGAAGCTTTCATATTCCAGGAACGCCCCCTGCTCTGATCAAGGCACTGCCCAGAACAAAGTCAGAGTTTGGACAGGATCAATAAAAACTGAATAATAAAGGTTAGGAGCACTGGAAAAGAAAACAAATTTAAAGGACAATGAGCTCTATTAGGTCCACTGGGGGAAATTATGAATTATTTTTGTTGAAGAAAATTTTTCACGATAAGAATTTTGCTTGAAGAACATATTTAAGCATAAGACTTATGCACCACTGGGAGGTGTTCTGTGACTATGAAGAACATATTCACCTGCTACTAACTAAAAAGCAAGCTAATGTTTTTTTTTTGTTTTTGTTCTCAACCAGCAGCCTATCCCCATCAGTGTAGGTGGGGTTATTTAGACAGTATGAAAAAAAATATAAAAGAAAGAGATCATGTTTGCAATGACAGACAAAAAAATAACTATGTGAGGTTAAAGAGGCAACAAAGAGGAGGAATGTATTGATAAACTGCAGGATACACAAACAGGGTAATAGATGCATACATTAATTTATGCATTTACTGATAAACAGATGTCATGTTGATAAGACTCATTACAGATGCATGGATGACTCAGCCTGTTCAGATGGAAGCACAGACTATAGGTCAGGGTTTCTCAAACTGGGGTTTAGGACCCCTCAGGGAGTCGCAAAGTTATTATATAGGGGGTCATGAGCTGTCAGCCTCCACCCAAAACCCCGCTTTTTATCCAGCATTTATCATGGTGTTAAATATCTAAAAAAGTGTTTTTAATTGGGGGTGGGGGCGGTTGCACTCAGAGGCTAGCTATGTGAAAGGGGTCACCAGTACAAAAGTTTGAGACCCAGTGCTATAGGTGAACATGGAATTCATTTTTCTGTGGAAAATTCATTTCTGTGGAATTCATTTTTCTGTGGAAGCCAAACACCAGCAGTTTGCTGAATGCTGCTGTTCATCTTCTTACATGTAAAATGAACAGCCACCGTATCACCTGATTCTCACACAGCTCTACTAGCTTCCCATTTAGTTCAGGATCTGGCTAGAAATTGCCCTAATTTTTAAACACTTTCTATGGATTTACTCCAACCTACTTCTGACACTTTGTTCCTCCCAGCCAGGCTCTTTTCATGGCCTTCTCCGCATCCCATCACATCATCTCAAAACGGTTGGCAAAAAGAGCCTTCACCCTTCATAGATCCTGCCCTCTCCGTCCTCTTTCAAAATCCTATCTGAAACATATTGTCTCCCTTGTTTATATCAACTGATTTCCCCCCACCTCTGATTTCATGTTTAACTGTACTGTTTGTTTATGTGGAGAGCCTGGGACATGATTGCATGAAAGATATTATGCAAGACCAAGAGGTATTGTGCTGCTGAGATGATAAACAAACAGGAAAAAGGAGTAAGTGTATATCTACACAGCAAAGAAAAACCTGTGGCTTGCTCGTGCCAGTCAGCTCAGGCTATGGGGCTGTTTCATTGTTGTGTAGACTTCCAGGCTCAGGCTGGAGCCTGAGCTCTGGGACCCTCCCATCTTGCAGACATACCCTAAGTGTCAGTTTATTTATTTCCTATAAATATTTCATTTGTGAACAGGCTGATTTTTTATTTATTCACTTTTCCATAACTATTTGATTAACAGTTTGTGTGGTCAAATTTCAGCGTACAGGTTGTTCACAAATCGTTCCCTTAAAACAGTGTTTCCCAAACTTGGGACCCCGCTTGTTCAGGGAAAGCCCCTGGCGGGCCGGGCCCCGGTTTGTTTACCTGCCGCGTCTGGAGGTTTGGCCGATCGCGGCTCCCACTGGCTGCGGTTCGCCGCTCCAGGCCAATGGGGACTGCGGGAAGCGGCGCAGGCCGAGGGACATACCGGCCGCTGCTTCCTGCAGCCCCCATTGGCCTGGAGCAGCGAACCGTGGCCAGTGGGAGCCGCGATCGGCAGAACCTCCGGATGCGGCAGGTAAACAAACCGGCCCGGCTTTCCCTGAACAAGCGGGGTCCCAAGTTTGGGAAACACCGCCTTCAAGTATTCATAATTGGCTTTCCTGGGATTCTGCTTGGTTATTTAAGTCACATGATACTGCTTTTGTTCGCGGACTGAAAGATGGAACTTTTTTGAACAGGATAACAATGAAAGATGAGGAATGAATGTTCTTACTCAGGCTTGATCAGCTTTTATTGGCAAGTAAGTGTGGGTAAGTAGCGTACAAACAGCTTTTCTCCAAACACTGGCACAAACAAAAAGCCATTCATGTCAAACTTTGTGAATACAAAGGGGACACCAGAATGCCATTTTAAATTTGAAAGAATGTTTGCAACTTTGGTTTACGCCATTTGATCAGCTCTTGCTCGGCTACCAGGCATCTGGTGCTGCAAAAAATGTACTTAGGAAGAAAATTACTCATAGCAATATTCGTATCAACAGATTAGTGCTGCAACAATGAGAGTCTTGGTTAAAATTCAGACCACAATTCAAAAGGAAGGATGTACTGCTTCTGTCGTTCGCAGGGTGCACGTAACATACCAGATGATTTGTGCTCAAGTTAATGGGAAAGAGAAATGCTTGTATCTTATCTCTGTACTATGTCAACTAGCAGCACAGGTATTGGCAGATTCTTGACCATTCTTTCCCATTGCTAATAAAGAATATTTATTATTCTGACGGTACATTCTTCTGTGTTAATTTCACCTGCCTGAGCTAAATCTGTAACGCTAACAAAGCCCTCATTGAAGTCAGCGGCAGTTTAGCCCGCATAAAGATTACAAGATCAGGTCCTTAGTTTTTAAACAAACACAAGCCGTAAATCATTGCTCTCCTTTGTTAAAATAGAGGTAACCACACACAGTTAATTTATTTGCCAGAAGAATTTTACTATGAAATGTTCTGTTTTACGCTGAGCCAGATGAAATAGTATCTATCTTATCCTGGGAGAGGGGCCACTGAATTCAATGGGACTATCATGGAGTAAGGTACACTCCTTAGGCTGGCAGAAGTGGGCCCCTAATGACATCAGGTGTTCAGTTAATGAAAGTAAAATGCTTTTCATGAGCTACAAGTAACTAGGGTGACCAGATTCCAAGTGTGAAAAATTGGGATGGGGGTAATAGGTGCCTGTATAACACAAAGCCCCGAATATTGGGGCTATCACTATAAAATTGCGACATCTGGTCACCCTATAAATAACTAGGGGGCGTAGTTACATGCGTCTCTGGAGTGAGTTCTGCCATGTTCATCTCAGGAAGCATGTGAAAATGGGAAGCAGCAACTGCCATTAAATAAGATGCAGGTGCAAGACTGGGAACTTTGGGTTAGTGTGCTCCCTGCAGCCTCACGTTTGCTTTGGAAAGTAAGATCTCTGCAGATAAACAGGAAGTGCCTTACCACCAAATGTGCTAACTGCAAAATATAGTAAAAGGAGCTGGCATGCACTTAAAATGGGTTCGGTTTTTAACAGAAGACCAGACATCCTGAAGCAGTGAAATGTAAAGAGCTGAGAGCACCTACTATTTAAGATGGAAATAATCTGTGCAGATAAAATGCAGCCTGCTCAGCCTCCATGGGCCTTTCTTCTCCTGGGAAAGATTGAAACTGATTTCCATTTTCAGTTAATCCTGTAACATGCCATGGCTCCTAATCCAAAACTAGAAGGACTATCCCATTCTCTGGTTCAGGAGTTAGTATATTCTGTTTTAATATCTACAGCACATGCCAATAATTCAATCAATCATTTTTAAGGCTCAGCTGAAAGCCCCAGAGACTGATATACTTTAGTTTTTTAAGGGTATATCTACACTGCAATTTAACACCTGTGGCTGGCTCACGTCAGCTGAATCAGGCTCACGGGGCTCGGGCTATGGGGCTATAAAACTGCAGTGTTGATAGTTGGGATTTCTGGGACCATACAAGCGAGGGTAGGGTCCCAGAGCCTGAATGTCTACACTGCAATTTTACAGCCCTGCAGGCCAAGTCCTGCAAGCCTGAGTCAGCTGACACAGGCCAGCCACGGGTGTTTAACTGCAGTGTAGACATACTTTAAGTCAGAGGCACAGCACCAGCAATGCCCGTGCAAGCTTCTTCCAATTTGTCAGACCCATGTACCTCAACCCTTGACTTAGAAGAGCCAGGTCTAGGGGCCAAAGGGTAATTCATGAACTTGTCAAAATATGGTGAGAGAGAAATATGAAAAACGTTACAGACAACGTTTACTTCGCATTCAACTTACACAGCCACTGTAGCACATTAAAGTAAGAAAAGAAGCCTAGGATCCATTCCATACCTGACCAGCCTTTCTGAAATACAATGTGAGGCTGTACTGCATATATTAGAGACACAAGGTAGGACAGGTAATATCTATTATTGGGCCAACTTTTGTTGGTGAGAGACAAAACAAGTTTTTGAGCTTACACAAAGTCCAAACCAGAAAAGCTCTGTGTAGCTAGAAAGCTTGTCTCTCTCACCAACAGAAGTTGGTTCAATAAAAGATATTACCTCACCCACCTTGTCTCTCTAATATCCTGGTTACAACAACACTGCAAACTGCATATATCATGCATTCTTCTTCTTGATCTTCCTGGTTACTAGCAAGGTTTGTATCACACATACTGTATAGACTGTGTATTCAGACAATATGCCAGAAACACACACACAGGGATGTATTTTGCCCTCTGTTACACCCATGAAACTCTGAGGATGTTACAGGCAAGTCTATGGAGTTGAGCGTGTGGGTCAATTAGAGCAGGATTGAACCATCACCTTTCATGATAGTTCATTGACCTCATTTGCACAAGAAGAGCTTGTAGTTACAGTATAAGCGATGCCAGGTAATTCTGGGAACAACAGGCATGGTATTCAACCTTTTAAAAGGATTATGTACTATGCAGCAAATGGGCTTTTAGGACAGGGAGTAAAATACCTATGCCATCTTTTACTGTTTCATTTTCCCTATTCCCTCCCAATCAAAAATTTAGTTCTTTAGTAGGAAAAAATAATAGTAAATAGCGAGGTAAGTACTGATTTGCAGATTTGCAGGCCCAAAGGTTTGTCAGACCTGGGACTATCTCAAGTGAACCACAAGTTCTGTTTTCTCCCTTGACAGATCAGGAAGCTCCTCAATGAAGCAGAAGTTCTCTGAGGGAGCAGCAAGCTGTGTCTCTCCAACAAGCTGAGCTGCAATCGTCTCCCTCTTACTGTATCCTATCTCTTGTTACTTACAACAAAGAGCAGGCATGAGGTGTGGGGACAAGAGCAATAGCCAAAGATGCCTGAGAAGCAGAGTTTGCAGCTCCCCAAGGGAAGAAGCATCTCAGATTGTTGAACCTTTTGGTTTGTCAGAGAGCAGCCCTTGGTCTGAGGCACTGCCAAAGTGTGTCATTATGTTCACAGCATATTCACACAGCAGTTAAATTAACATTAAATAACTCAGGAGAGTGAGTTTGTGTGTGTGTGGGGGTGGAGGGTGAGAAAACCTGGATTTGTGCTGGAAATGGCCCAACTTGATGATCACTTTAGATAAGCTATTACCAGCAGGACAGTGGGGTGGGAGGAGGTATTGTTTCATGTTCTCTGTGTGTATATAAAGTCTGCTGCAGTTTCCACGGTATGCATCCGATGAAGTGAGCTGTAGCTCACGAAAGCTCATGCTCAAATAAATTGGTTAGTCTCTAAGGTGCCACAAGTACTCCTTTTCTTATTGGACGGTTGCAACATACCTACTTTATTTCTTAGAATTCAGAATCCTAACACAAGAACCGCAAAACAGAGAGAGACAAAGCAGGCTGCTCCCTGTGAGGCACAACTCATACCATCTTGCTCTAGGCTAGCTTTCTGCAGACAGATGCTGATCACATGCTTCACTACAGAGCCCCTCATCTGCAAGCAGGACCCAGAAACCTCTAAACTTTAAAGTGCTAAATTGTAATTTTAACACAGTTTTCAATACACCACAGTCATGTCTGAGGAAGGATGGAGGGCCATGAGGAGAGGGAAACAAAGGATGTCAGGGGGCTGGGCAGCCAGGCTCCTCACTGGACTTTCTGGCCCTTGCTACACTGCTATCCCCCACACCACTGACCCATTTCCCTGACCCCAATTATCAACTAGCTCCAAAGTTCCATGCATCTCCACACCCATCAAAAGTTTTTCCACTGTGAATGGAACAGATAAGGGAGGGGAAGGGACAGAGAACCAGGGAACTGTGGAATAATGCTGCATAGTGGGTCTGTGTACAGTTAGTGCCATTGTGCTGCCCAGCTCCTCAGTTCTGTTCCCCACCTTCCCTGCCCACACTGATTCCATTAGTCAAATCTCCAGTCTCTGCTCCTTAGGATGTGGGGAGGGTGTGCAAGAGACTACAGTAGCAGTAAGACTTTAGGGGAGGGAAGGGGGAGTGACCAGAAGGGGTCACAGGCAGTGGTGAGCTGGAGCTGGTTCACGCGACCCGGTTGTTAAATTTTGAAGCCGGTTTAGAACCGGTTGTTAAAGGGGTGGGCAAACTGTCCACATGTGGCCCACGGGACCGTCCTTTCTGTCCCGCCTGAGCTCTCGGCTGGGGAAGCTCCCCTGAGAATTTTAACTCACCCAGCGGCACTCCGGGCCTTTGGTGGCACTTCGGCGGTGAGTCCTTCAGTGCCGCTGAAGACCCGGAGCGACTGAAGGACCTGCCGCTGGAGTGCCGCAGTGACAGAAGGAACTGGTTCTTCAGCTTCTGACAGCTCATCACTGGTCACAGGGAAGATGCTTTGAAATGGGGATGCAAGAATGTAGAGGGCAGCAAGGCGGACAACCTGGCATGAGTAGAAACACAGGTGGGGAGAGTCTCAGAATTAGGGCTGGGACTTGCAGGTTGAAGACTTCCGTTAATGGATTTTTAAATAGCAG